TTAAACATTTGTAAGGTCCTTGCACTTTGGAAGTTAGCAAGAGTACGACTTTATATTAGGCTACAATAAGACATGCTGTAAGCTCTAGAACCACCAGTAAAAACAGTGGAAAAAGTATATTTACTAAGTGTAGAAGAAAAATGGGATAATAAAATTTCTTAGTAAATTCAGAAGAAGACAAGAAAGGAGAGAAAAAAACTAGATAGCACAAATGGGACTTATAGTCAGATGCTAAATTTATATCAGAATATATGAATAATTGCATTAAGTGTAAATCGACTAAACATTTCAGTTAAAAGTTATATATTGTCATATTGCATTAAAAAATAAAACCCAACTATAAGTTACTCATAGGAAACATATTTAGCTGGATCTAAGATGGCTGATTAGAAGCAGCTGTGGTCCGTGGCACTCACAGAGAGGAATGAAAAGGGGAGAGTGAATTCAGCACCTTCAACTGAAATATACGGGTTCTTGCACTGAGACTGACTAGGCAAACCACTCAACAAATGGAGAACAAAGAAAAGTTGGGGGGGTGGTGACAGCCCACCTAGGAGCAGCACAGAGCCTAAGGGACCCCCACTCCCAGCCAAGGGAAATGGTGAGTGATAGTGCAACCCTGCCTGAGAAACCTCGCTTCTCCCACATATCTTTGCAACCCACAGATCAGGAGATTCCTTCATGAGTCTATGCCACCAGGGCCTCAACTCTGATACACAGAGCTGTGTGGAGTCTTGGCCGGGCAGCCACTCAGGCACACACAGAGACCCAGGAGTTTTACATATTCCAGCTCCAGGATTCCAGGCAAGGTGAGAAATCCATCCCTATGTATCCCTAGGAAGGGGACTGAACCCAGGAAGTAAAGCAGTTAAAATTCCAGCCAACCAATGGCAGGGGCTGGAATCTGCCTGAGACAGGTCCAAGTTCCTGGTGGGGAAGGGAGTTTGGATCTCTGTGGTTCAGTAGACTCAGCAGTTCCAGCCTGCCAGCTTTGGAGAAAACAAATTGTTCAGATGAGGAAGGGATCCCACTCAAAGTCACACTGTGGCAGCAACAGGTGCCTACTCACTGTGGAACAGAGCTTCCAGAGAAAAGAGCAGGCTGCCATCTTTGAAGTTTCACAGACTTCACTAGTGATGCCTCCAGGTATAAGAAAAAACAAGGCAACTGGGGCCTGGAGCAGACCTCCAGCAAACTGCAGCAGCCCTATGGTAAAGTAGCCTGACTGGTAAAAGAAAAACAAACAGAAAACAAAAACATCACCAAAAAAGACCTAACAAAAACCCCATTCAAAGGTCAGCAACCTCAAAGATCAAAGTTAGATAAGCCCATGACGATAAGAAGGAATCAATGGAAAAAGTTGAAAACTCAAAAAGCTATAGTGCCTCTTTTCCTCCAAATGAGTGCGGCACTTCTCCAGCAAGGGCACAGAACTGGGCTGAGGCAGAAATGGTTGGATTGATAGAAGTAGGCTTCAGAAGGTGGCTAATAACAAACTTTGCTGAGCTAAAGGATCATGTTCTAACCCAATGCAAAGAAGCTAAGAATCATGATAGAACAATACAGGAGATAATAGCCAGAATAGCTAGTTTGGAGGGGAATATAAATTACCTGATGGGCCGGGCACAGTGGCTCATGCCTGTAATCCCAGCACATTGGGAGGCTAAGGTGGGCGGATCACAAGGTCAGCAGTTCAAGAACAGCCTGGCCAACATGGTGAAACCCCATCTCTACTAAAAGTACAAAACTTAGCCAGATGTGGTGGGAGGCTGAGGCAGGAGAATCACTTGAAACCAGAAGGCAAAAGTTGCAGTGAGCTGAGATCATGCCACTGCACTCCAGCCTGGGTGAAGGAGTGAAACTCCATCTCAAAAAAAAAAAAAAAATAAAAGACCTGATGGAGCTCAAAAACACAACACAAGAAATTCATGATGCAGTCGCAAGTATTAATAGCAGAATAGATCAAATGGAGGAAAGAATCTCAGAGCTTGAAGACTATTTTGCCGAAATAAGGCAGACAAGAATAGAGAAAAAAGAATGAAAAGAAGTTAACAAAACCTCTGAGAACCATGTTGTAAAAAGACCGAGCTTGTGACTGATTAGGGTACCTGAAAGAGACAAGGAGAATGGAACCAAGTTGGAAAATATACTTCACTATATCATCCAGGAGAACTTCCCCAACCTAGCAAGACAGACCCACATTCAAATTCGAGAAATCCAGAGAACCCAATAAGATACTCCATGAGAAGATAAACCCCAAGACACATAATTATCAGATTCACCAAGGTCAAAATGAAAGAAAAAAATGTTAAGGGCAATCAGAGAGAAAGACCAGGTCACCTACACAGGGAAGCCCGTCAGACTAACAGTGGACCTTTCAGTGAAAACCCTATAGGCCAGAAAAGATTAGTGGCCAATATTCAACATTCTTAAAGAAAAGAATTTCCAACCCAGAATTTCATATCTGGCCAAACTAAGCTTCATAAGTGAAGGAGAAATAAAGTCCTTTTCAGGCAAGCAAATCTGAGGGAATTCGTCACCACCAGGCCTGCCTTGCAAGAGCTCCTGAAGGAAGCACTAAATATGGAAAGGAAAAATTATTTGCAGCCACTACAAAAACACTCTGAAGTATACAGACCAGTGACACTGTGAAGCAACTACATTAACAAGTCTGCAAAACAAACAGCAAGCATCATGATGACAGGATCAAATTTACATATAATAATACTAACCTTAAATGTAAATGGACTAAATGCCCCAATTAAATGACACAGAATGGCAAGCTGGATAAAGATCCAAGACCCATTGGTATGCTGCCTTCAAGAGACCATCTCAAGTGCAAAGACATGCATACACTCAAAATAAAGGGATGGAGGAAAATTTACCAAGCAAATGGAAAACAGAAAGGAGTAAGGGTTAGAGTCTTAATTTCTGATGAAACAGATTTTAACCAACAAAAATCAAAAAAGACAAAGAAGGGTATTACATAATGGTAAAGGGTTCAATTCAATAAGAAGCCCTAACTATTCTAAATATACAGGCACCCAATACAGGACCATCCAGATTCATAAAGCAAGCTCTTAAAGACCTACAAAGGCACTTAGACTGCCACACAATAATAGTGACAGACTTTAACACTCCACTGTCAATAGTAGATAGATAATTGAAACAGAAAATTAACAAAGATATTCAGGACCTGAAATCAACTCTGGGTCAAGTGAACCTGAGACATAGCTACAGAACTTTCCACCCAAAACAACAGAATGTACATTCTTATCATTGCCAGATGACAGTTACTCTGAAATTGATCACATAATTGGAAGTAAAACACTCCTCAACAAATGCAAAAGAATTGAAATCATGACATTCTGTCATGCCACAGTGCAATCAAATTAGAACTCAAGATTAAGAAATTCACTCAAAACTGCACGACTACATGGAAAATTGAACAACCTGCTCCTGAATAACCCTTGGGTAAGTAATGAAACTAAGGTAGAATTCAAGAAGTTATTTGAAACTAATGAGAACAAAGAGACAATGTACTAGAATCTCTGAGACACAGCTAAAGCAGTGTTAAGAAGGAAATTTACAGCACTAAATACTCACATCAAAAAGCTAGAAAGATCTCAAGTTAACAACCTAACATGTCAACTGAAAGAACTAGAGAGCCAAAAGCAAACAAACCCCAAAGCTAGCAGAAAACAAGAAGTAACCAAGATCAGAGCTGGACTGAAGGAGAGAGAGACAAGAAAAGCCCTTCAAAATATCAACGAATCCAGGAGCTGGTTTTTTCAAAACATTAATAAAACAGACTCTAGCTAGACTAATAAGGAAGAAAAGAGGGAAGAATCAAAGAAACACAATCAGAAATGATAAGGGGAATGTCCCCACTGACCCCACAGAAATACAAACAGCCATCAGAGAAAACTATAAACACCTCTATGCACATAAACTAGAAAGTCTAGAAAAAAATTGGTGAATTCCTGGAGACATACACCCTCCCAAGAGTGAACCAGGAAAAAATTGAATCTGTGAATACACCAATAACAAGTTCTGAAATTGAGACAGTAATAAATAGCCTACCAACAAAAAAAGCCCCGTACCAGACAGATTTACAGCTGAATTGTACCAGATGGTATAAAGAAGAGCTAGTGACATTTCTACTGAGACTATTCCAAACAATTGAAAAGAAGGGACTCCTCCCTAACTCATTCTATGAGGGCAGCATCATCCTGATACCAAAACCGGGTAGAGATACAACAAGAAAATGAAAACTTCAGGTCAATGTTCTTGATTAATATCAATGCAAAAATTCTCAGCAAAATACTGGCAAATCAAATCCACTAGCATATCAAAAAGCTTGTCTGCCACGATCAAGTCACCTTCTTTCCCAGGATGCAAGGTTAGTTCAACATGCAAAAATCAATAAATGTGATCCATCACATAATCAGAACTAGAGACAAGAACCACATGATTATCTCAATAGATGCAGAAAAAACCTTTGATAAAATTCATCCCTTCATATTAAAAAGAAAACTCAATAACCTAGGTTTTGAAGGAACATACCTCAAAATAATAAGAGCCATATATGACAGACCCACAACCAATATCATACTGAATGGGCAAAAGCAAGAAGCATTTCCTTCTTGCAAACCAGCACAAGACAAGGTTGCCCTCCCTCATCACTCCTGTTAAACATAGTGTTAGAAGTTCTGGCCAGGGCAATCAGGCAAGAGAAAGAAATAAAGGATACTCAAATAGGAA